GAGACAGAGTCTCTCTCTCTTGGCTAGAGTGCCGCGGCGTCAGCCTAGCTCACAGCAACCTCAAACTGCTGGGCTCAAACAATCCTCCTGCTTCAGCCTCCCGGGTAGCTGGGACAACAGGCACACACCACCATGCCCAGCTAATTTTTTCTATTTTCAGTTGTTTGGCTAATTTCTTTCTATTTATAGTAGAGACGGGGTCTCACTCTTGCTCAGGCTGGTCTCGAACTCCTGAACTCAAGCAATCCTCCCGCCTCGGCCTCCCAGAGTGCTAGGATTACAGGCATGAGCCACCACGCCCGGCCTGGCCAATGGTTTTCAACAAGGGTGCCAAGACCATTTAATGAGGAAAGGACAGTCTTTTCAACAAAGGGATTGGTAAAACTGGGTATCCACATGCAAAAGAATGAAGTTGGAACCTAGCCTTACACCTTATACGAAAACTAACTCAAAATGGATCAAAGACCTAAATTTAAGAGCTGAGGGTATAAAACTCATAGAAGAAAACATGGGAGAAAATCTTCATGACCTTGAATTTGGCAGTGAGTTCTCCAAAAGAACAGACACAAAAGAACAAAATAGGTAAATTGGACTTCATAAATACAAAAACTTGTATATTGAAGGACGTTTTCTAGAGTGAAAGCCCACAAAATGAAACAAATTATTTGCAAATTATGTATTTAATAAGGATTTATTATCTAGAATATATTAAAAACTCCAACAACTCAACAACAGCAAAACAATTAAAATATGGACAAAAGACTTGAGTAGACATTTTCCAAAGAAGATATACAAATGGCCAGCATGCACACAAAATAACAAGTGTTGGCCAGGATGTAGAGAAATTGGAGCCAGGTGCCTCAAGAATAGACATGTAAAATAGTATATAGCTGCTGTGGAAAACCATTGCAGTTCCTCAGAAAGTTAGTTATAAAATTACCATATGACCTAGCAATTCTACTTCACTCTTAGGTAGATATTGAAAATAGGGACTCAAACATATACAGTTATTTGTGTACCAATGTTCATAGTAGTATTATTCACAATAGCCAAAGAGTGGAAACAACGCAAGTGTCCATCAACAAATGACTGGATAAACAAAATGTGCTATAAACATACAATGTAATATTATTTGACCACAAAAAGGAATGAAATTCTGATACGTGGTACATATGGAAGAACCTTGAAAACGTTATGCTAAGTGAAATAAACAGACAACAAAGGACAAATATTGTATGATTCCACTTATATGAGGTATCTAGAATAGGCAAATGCATAGCGTAGAGGTTTCCAGGGCCTGGGGAAGAAGAAAATGGGAAATTTTTACTTAACGGGTACAGAGTTTCTGCTTAAGCTGATGAAAGTGTTCTGGAAATAGATAGTGGTGGCTACACAACATTTTGTATGTGCTTAATGCCACTGAATTGTGTACTTTCAAATGGCTAGAATGGTAAATGTTACATCATTTATATTTTAACCACATTTTGGGGAAATTTAATTATAGATAGTGATTCAGATACATAAATTATGTATTTTTAAAACAAGGGAATATGAAGAAGTGAAAAAGTTACCAAATTATGTGATTATTTTGAGTAGAAATAAAGCTCAAATAAAAGATTTTAATTTTTAGCTAATGTATTTCATTAAAAGAAGACATATTTTATGATGCTGATTTAAAATGTTTCCTATTTATAGTAATTAAAACTAGCTATATTGAATAATAATTTTTAAAACCTTTAAATTTACACAGAAAAAGCTTTTCAGAATAATTCATGTAAAAGGGATTTGTATACTTTATATGTGCTAGAGCATTTTGAATGATTTTAGTTCGTTATCAGATTTTCTAGATTTTAATGAAACCTATGTTTCTTTAGCTTGACAGGGCCAATTCGCTATTAGACCAGACTCAGCAGCCTTACAGATATCTCATTGAATCAGTGCGTCAGAGAGATTCTAAGATTGATTCATTGATGGAGTGTATTTCACAGCTTGAGAAAGATGTCAGGTAAACCATCTACAAATCTTTTATTTGAATAATAAAGACATTGTAAACATAATGCTGCTTAGGTGAATTTGGGTTGTAAATTGTGAAGAAAAAATTTAAATAATGAAGGTGGTCTTAAATGTAATGAGTATTAAACTTTGCTTAGAAAAACTAAGGTCACATCACATCAGGTGTTCACATTCCACCTATGATTGGACGTTTTAGTGTGGAAATAACAGCGCTACACTTATTAACATAGCATTCCATCTACCCTAGGGGACACAAAGACTATCTTGTCCTTGTTCCTCTAGAATTCTTTAGTGGGATATAGCTCGACCAGAGGGAGAGGTGGAATATAACCAGGTGCCATTTGTGGAGTTAAAGTGACTTTTTAAACACAAAGAGGTACATATTTACTTAGATTCATGTTGACTTTGCCAAGGAATTTTTAGGCTTTTCTTCTCCTGACCCTGTACATGAAGTAACCCATGAATTGCCTCAATGAAAATAAATAAATTCTTTTTTTTTCACTTCCTTAGTTTGAAATTGTTTTTGTATGAGACCTCATCCAAAAGACTTGCTCCATTTAGTAGTCATTCAAATTCTTTACCTGTTGTCTATATGATCATTTTAGTTTTTTAACTAAAATAAAATGATGATGTATGTAAAGGAAAAGGTTTTAACTCATGGATAGATGGTTAGGTGGCTTAGTTATTAGATTTTAAGATTATTAGAATAATTTAAATTTTTATGGATAAATTATTAACTTGTCATAAATGGGAAAGCAGAGAATTTGGTAGAAATAAAAATAGTTAAATCAAGGAATTGGGAAACAATAAGGAGAAGGTAGTTATTAAATCCAGGCTTCCTAAGGTATGTGAACAAAAATATAAAACTTGGTAATTAACTCCAAAATATGAGTGTTCTTTTTGATAATCACAATAATTATCTTCTCTCATTTCTACCCACCAAAATAATTGGTTCAGAACTTTGTTCCTGGTCTTAATTTTGTGATGATTTATTTAAATAATTTTAAATCACATTTATAGTTTAAACACCAAAGTAAATAATGATAATTTATTTCTAGATCATTTTAAAGTTAAAAATTATATCTATAAGCCAGGCACAGTGGCTCACACCTGTAATCCTAGCACTCTGGGAGGCTGAGGCAGGTGGATTGTTTGAACTCAGGAGTTCGAGACCAACCTGAGCAAGAGCGAGACCCCATCTCTACTAAAAATACAAAGAAATTAGTCGGACAACTGAAAATATATAGAAAAAATTAGCCGGGCATGGTGGCACATGCCTGTAGTCCCAGCTACTTGGGAGGCTGAGGCAGAGGATTGCTTGAGCCCAGGAGTTTGAGGTTGCTGTGAGCTAGGCTGATGCCACAGCAGTCTAGCCAGGGCAACAGGGCGAGACTCTGTCTCAAAAAAAAAAAAAGAAATCATGTAATTTGTATATTTATATACATAACCAACATTAATAAATTAATAGTTCTTGGGGACAAGAGAAATTATGTCTTTCATCATTCACTGGTTACCTGGTTATCTTAGGGAAATTGAGAAAGGAACCCCAAAGAGAACTTTTTCCTCTTGTGTTATACATTTCTGTTATATTTGAAATTTTTATAATAGTCTTATTTTACCTTTGTAATCTTGGGAGGAGTATGATTTATATAAAAGGCCTGAGAAAAAAATTGCTTCTTTCATTGTTACCTCTAAATAAATTTGCATATTTATTTTACTAAGAATTAAGGTAGCTGAAAATGTTTAATATAGATAAAAATAATAGCTATAGAAGAAAATTATAAAGATGAACAAATTCAGCCCTAGAGAAATTAAGTGACTTTGTCCTGTAAGAACATACAGCATTGTGATAGAGCCAAAAGTTGAATCTATATCTGTCTGCTTTCTAATTCTATACTCTTAACCGTTATGTTATACCGCCTCCCTATGTTCTATTCTGAATAAGAGATAATTTTTCATTAACTAATATAATTAAGGAAAAGAAGCAAAAAAATAGTGTATCAGCGTGGTTAAAAGTAAGGCTGTTATGAGTTGGGAATTGTTGAAGCTGGATAACAAAGGTACATGGGGGTTGTTATATTTTCTCTCTTTTGAAATATTCTATAATAAAGTTGTTTTTTGAAAAATTTATTTTTAAAAGGGAGTTTTCAAATCCAGCTCAGTACTTAGTTTTCTTTTTCTTTTTCTTTTTTTTTTTTTTTTTTTCTGAACAGTACTTAGTTTTGAATTGGGGAAAATACATTTAAACTCTCTCTAAACCTCCGTTGTCTAATAGAACTATAATGATAAAAATATTCCATATCTATGCTGTCCAGTATGGTAGCCACTTGCTAACGACATGTGACAATTGAGCATTTAAAACGTACTTGTGTTACTGAGGAACTAAATTTTTTGTTTTATTTAAATTAATTTTAATTTTAATTGTCACTACGGCTAATGACTATGGTATTGGACAACACAACCAGTTTCCTCAAATGTGAAAATGAGAGTGGTACTAACAGCACCTAATTGATGTGGTTGTTCTGAGGATTATATGACATAATCTTCCTAATATACATACCATACTCCTTAAACGTTGCAAATGTTCAATAAATGTTTGCTATTATTAGTACTTATCTTACATTTAACAAATTTTATGTTGAAAATTATCTTAAAAATGAGAAATAACATTTCGCAAAATATGTTGAATTTGGAGAAAAATTAAAGCTCCCTGAATAACAGCAACAGGAAAAACAAAAGCTATGCCAATTATGGAACTAGCAAAAAAATTTTATACTAAACATGAGTCCTTAACACTGTTTCATAAATTTATTATATGATATTTTAGTAGATTCTGAACTCATATTTCACAGGATATGAAATCTTGCTCTTAATTGAAGCAACTACCCTCTCATGTGAAAAATTAAGGTGCTTTCCACACTTTAATTATGGCATTTGAGATGCTGCTGTAAGTGTACCCTGGTTACATGAATGAAATGATGAAATGACATGATGTGAGGATGCCAAAAAAAAAAGTCAACTCAAAAACACTAGGCACAGAGGCACGCACCTGTAATCCCAGCTACTTAGGAGGCTGAGGCAGGACGATCATTTGAGCCCAGGAGTTCAACACTAGCCTGGGTTACTTAGCAAGACCCCATCTCTAAAAAATAAAAAAAGATTTAAAAAAATTTTTTTAAAGTCAGCTCAGCCAACAAATTAGATACAGTAGGATAGATCACAGTTTTGTATACTCACAGTTCTACATACCCACATTCCTTCACCCCTGCTCTGAGTGGACGGCATTTCAAATCCTACAGTGGAATTATACTGGGCTTTGAATGCACATCAAACTGGTGTCTCTTCTCATGGTAAATATGTCTGTAAAATATAGATATTAATGTGAACCTCAAGGAGTAGCGAAAATTAAATTAGAAACATATATATGCTTCTGGCACACAGGAGAAACTCAGTAAATATTACTTCCCCTCCCCTTGTCCTTTAGGAATTTGAAATTTAAACATTAGATGGCCTATCTAAAAAGATTATTAAGTTATATTTTCCTTAGGAAACATAAATAGGAAAATAAATTTGGAAATTCCTATTCCTCTTTGCTGTGTGTCGATTTTTTTTTCTTTTTTTTCAAGACAGAGTCTCACTCTGTCTCCCAGGCTAGAGTACAGTGGCATCATCATAGCTCACTGTAGCCTCAAACTCCTGGGCTCACGTGAGCCTGCTACCTCAGCCTCCTGAGTAGCTAGGACTATAGGCATACACCACCACACTGGCTAATTTTTTTCTGTTTTTAGTAGAGATGGGGGGATCTCACTCTTGCTCAGGCTGGTCTCGAACTACTAACCTCAAGTGATCCTCCTGCCTGGGCCTCCCAGAGTGCTAGGATTACAGGCATGAGCCACCTTGCCCAGCCATGTGTTGATTTTAATTGTAAAAAATGTTTATACCAATTGATTATTTTTAAATATTTTTCTAGCTTATACAATAAAGCTCTTTAAAGAACTGAATAATTTTATACTTTTCTTAGAAAATTAAGCAATACCACTGTACCACACTCATCCCTTGAAAATTTAGCTATTTATACAATATATTCAATTTCTAGAAAGGTTAGAGTAAATATGCACTAAAATGAAATCATCATAAACATGTTAAAAGCTAACATTTGAGATGTCACTATTAACTGCTTTAAATTCCCCTATTATTAAAGTAATAATCCATTCTAAAAGGAGTGCTGTTAACTCTCCTCCACCAAGCCACAAGAGACAGTCTGGTTAATATAGTTTAATATAGTTTGATCTCTACTTCAGAACTAAAGGAAGCATGGAAAGAGAATAATTAGCATAAATTTTCTTTCCCTGTTGTCAGTTCTCAATTTTTTCTTAAAGAAGACTACATCGTCAACTTCTCTTACAAGGCTAAGCCATCGTATATTGATCCAGGAAGTTAAGGAACAATATATCAGGAATATGTTTTCATATAGCAGGTGAAACAGAACCATAAACATGAATTTCTGAGTAATAATTAACAGTGAATTGGACAATTGTGGGTGTAATATACCGTTCAAGATAGATGTGCTTATAAGGAGATTTGTTTTGTAGTTGTTTTATGAGTCACTAGTGGAAGCTTTGTATTTTTAAAGGTAAGTTTCCACTGTTATGAAATACGTCTTACGAAGATTAAACTTCTATTGAGTAATGCATACATACTAGAAGAACAGTGACTATAATAATCATCATATTCAGTTTTAGAGACCCACGTGTTGAAGGTGGTCTCCCTTGTGGTTCCAGTACATTATAAAGAAGACTAGGACTTTGAAATATATACTCGGATTTTTCTAATCACAGAAATATTGTCTGGGGAGTCTGTATTGTTTGTGATACATCGATGTCTTATAGAAACAGCAGAGGTGTCTACAAAGCAACTACAAAACAAACAGAATTGTCTCAGTAAACCAGTTCACCCACCTTTTATTACATGTTATATGGATGTTTTTGCTATTTAATTACAGAATATTTATTCTTGAAAAGTTAAAGCATATAAAGCATTTCTAAAGAATTATCCAGTCAAAATCCTTTAATTACCACAACATTCCATTCCTATTACACTATATTTTATTTAATGGGCCTGTTGGTATTTGAGACAGAGCACGTGTGTGTGTGTGTGTGTGTGTGTGTGTGTGTGTGCACGCACTTGTGCACACATGTGGGTATGCACTGAATGTATGTTTATATACTGTGTGTATGTGTGCATGTATATGAATATAGACATGTATATGTTCCTTGAAAATTCCTAATCCTGTTTACTGGATATTTAACTTTGAAAAATATTTTGTCTTGAAAGTGATTCCAGCTAAAGATAGATTAGAATTCTAGAGTTACAGAAACATCTGATCCTTACCATGCTTTACAGACTCTAGCAGAACATGGCACTCAGTTTCCTTTATACCATTTTGTACTGTAGGATCTTTGGCGCCTAACTCCAAAAGTCAGTTTGTTTTTCTGCTAAGCTACTTACCTTTATTGGCGTTTAATTACTGTTTTCCTCTGATGCCTGTTTTTCATCTAAATTAGTAATACTCTATAGCATTTATATAGAGTTTTATGTGTTCAGTGCTTTATGTAATCATTCATTAGCTAATTCACATATCCCTTTGACATACATGAGTATTATTTTCCACTTTTACAGATAGGAAGACTAAGATTCAGTGGGGTGGTGTGCATTGTGTTATACCACAGTTGAGTCAGTGGCACAGTTGGAAACAGAAGTCAAAATTGCATCTAGTCTGTCTTCTCAGAGGATAAGCCGTGATGCTTCCTGGGGAATTTCTCACTAGCAAGGAGGAGAGGGTGGGCTTTCCCTCTTAAATCCTTGGAATTACCAGTTCCTCCAGAATGCCTACTACTACTATTCCTTGAATTAACAAAAAAGCTTCTGCCTAATATTTTAAAACTTGGTGGCTTTCAATTTTCTCAAATTATAACTTAAAACTATCTTATATTCAGCAAAACAACTCTCATTAGTTTTACCCTCACAAATTCTGTCTCAACATTGGAGGAATTATGTTGCTTCAGCTCAGTTTCAAGTCATTATTGCTTTTAATTCTTGTTATAGGTGCTAGTTGAGTAGATTCATCTAGTGGCATTAGAAGAATATTTCATTTAATTGTTCTAATCAATTTCTATACATTGCATAATAAAATTGTAGACAGTATAAGATAAGCTCCAAATATCTCTTTTGAAATATTAATATGTCCTTACAATTAGGCTCATAAGATAGCTTCTCACCCTCTCTTATCAGCAAATAGATTATATCACAGGGAAATTCACAGTGCCAATTTAGAAATTGAACATTGAACTAAGAATTCTTTTTCCAAGTTTATCACAGACTAAATATCTGATTCATTTACCTAATGCAGTTATATACCTGCTAATTTAGTATGTGGTAAATTATAAAATACTACTTTCAGTTTTAAGGATAGATGTTTTAATTTGACTTCTAATATATTGTGTTACAATATTTTGCCCATATATACTTTCTTTTTACCTTTTATATAAGTACCACTTTATCTTTTTACATTTCAGGAATAAATAGTCATCTTTAAAACGTTAATGTTATGTCCATACTAGGCAGGAAAGTATTCTCAGAAAGCATCTCATTTGCATTATCAAATGATTATTAAAAGACAAATAGGTTGAGAATGGTGGCTAACACTGATGCCGGTAATCCCAGCACTTCGCGAGGCCAAGGCAGGAGGATTGCTTGAGACCAGGAATTCAAGACTAGCCTGGGCAACATAGCAAGACCTTGTCTCTACAAAAAATAAGAAAAATTAGCTGGATGTGGTGGCACACACCTGTAGTCCCAGCTATTCAGCAGGCTGAGGCAAAAGGATTGCTTGATCTAAGGAGTTCAAGGATGCAGTGAGCTATGACCCTGCCACTGTACTCCAGCCTGAGTGACAAAGTGAGACCCTATCTCAAAAAAAAAAAAAGAAAAATACATGGGCATGATGGCACACACCTGTAGTCCCAGCTACTCCAGGGGGTGAGACAGGAGGATCACTTGAACCTGGGAGTTCAAGGCTGTAGTGTGCTGTGATCTCGCCTGTGACTAGCCACTGGGCAACATTGCAAGACCCCATCTCTTAAAAAAAAAAGAAAGAAAGAGAGAAAAAGAGAAAGTCTTCTGACAAAATAGGTTGGTCTTGTATCTTTATGGACTATAAATTTAATTTGTCTTTAATTCACACCATTGGATTTATGGTTAACTCTTTTGCTATTTACTATTTATTAACTAAATTGACACTAACATGATGGCTTTTTAAACTTTCTTTTCAGCAATTTAAATAAAGAAAAGTCAGCTTTACTACAGATGAAGAATCAAATGTCACTAGATTTAGAACAACTTTTAAATCATCGTGAGGTACTTTTTCCATTTTGTCATAATTTTTGCCATTTTAGGCTTTTTTTTATTTTTATAAATTTAGGAGGTACAAGTACAGTTTTGTTATATGGATGTAGTGTGTAGACGTGAAGTCTGGGCTTTTAATGTAACCATCACCTGAATAGTGCTCGTTGTACCTGTTAAGTAATTTTTAAACCCCCCACCCACCGCCACCCCGACCTTCCTCACCTCTCACCCTTCCAAGTCTCCAGTTATTCCACTTTCTGTGTCCATGTGCTCCCACTTATAAGTGAAGATATGCAGTATTTGACTTTCTGTTTCCAAGTGATTTCACTTAAGAGAATAGCTTTTCCAAAACTTTAGGATTTTTCAAAATTCATATCAAGTTAAAATTATTGCATCCCCGGTGTCCATGTTCATCAGTGACTTCTCACGTGTGCATCTCACTGTGATCTGGCCCTCTTCGTTCAACTTGTGATATGCTTCCTAGACTTAATTCTTACTCCTACAATGCCCCTTCCTATTGACTAGTATTGCTTTATTCATATCTCTGTCACTGACTTTCCACATTGTTTAATAATTACCTGTTTTATCTTGGTCTACCACTAGACAGTAGATTTCTTTAGTGTACCCCTCTCTTGTCTATCATCGTATGCCCAGTGCCTAGTGTACAATATTTGTGTTGAGTATTAAAGTTCATAAAGTTCTTTTATTTTTTCATTTGTTCCTCACCAAAATTATGTTACAGTAAATATAATCCCCATTTTATAGAAGGAGAAATGAGTCTTCAGTGGCTTGCCCGTGAACAGTTAGTGTCTAAGGGATAAGCCCAGTTTTATTTTGGTTTTTAAGCCAGGTTTATTGAGGTATAACGTACAAACACTAAAATTCACCCTTTTCAGCATATATTTTGGTGATTTTTTGACAACTGCAGACAGTTGTGTAAGCATCACCTCAATCAACATATAGAATATTTCCATCACCCCAAAAAATTCTCTCATGCTCCCTTTGTAGTTAAACCTTTTCCTCAACCCCCAGCCATAACAAGTCATCACTGCTCTATTTTCTGTACTTACAGTTTTACCTTTTACAGAATGCCATACAAATGAAATTATCAGTATGTAGCCTTTTGAGTCTGGCTTTTCTCACTTAATACTAATGCATTTGAAATTCATCCATGTTGTTGCAAATATTAGTCATTTGTTCCCTTTTATTGCTAAGTAGTAATCCATTATATAAAGGTACCACAGTTTGTTAATCCATTCACCAGCTGATGGACATTTAAGCTGTCTCCATTTTGGGACATCTCTAAATAAAGCACCTGTAAACACTTGTGTACAGGTTTTTGTTTTCATTTCTCTTGGATAAATACCCAGTAGCACGATTACTTAGTTGTATGGTAAGTATATGCTTAACTTTATAAGGAACTGCCAAATATTTCCAAAATGACTATAGTTTTGCATTCCTACCCGAAATGAATGAACGTTCCATTGCTCTACATTCTCAACAACAGAATGTCGTTAAGCCTAGTTTTGGGGGGTTTTTTGTTTGCTATTGGAGACAGAGTCTCACTCTGTCTTCCTGGATAGAGTACAGTGGCATCATTGTAGCTCACTGCAACCTCAAACTCCTGGGCTCAAGATATCCTCTTGCCTAAGTCTCCCAAGTAGCTGGGACTACAGGTGCGTGCCATGACGCCCAGCTAAGGCCTAGTTTTTTAAACCAAAGCATTATTTCCACTGAGCTATATCACTGTTTCATCTTAGCCATCTTTTTACCATTTTGTTATTCTGTAATAATAGAGAAAGAAACGTTCAAAATAGATCAATGGTTTATAAGTATCCTAAAGGCATTGTTTTCTAGCCTGGGAAAGGTAAGGTATACCAAGTGTTTGGAAAGAAATTATTGGAGGAATATTATTGAGACAGATGAACTGGAGACTATTACTGGAAGCAGTGTAAAGGTGCAAATCCTAGAGTTGGTATCAGAGGAATTGTCTCTGTTTTAGAAATAGCCTTTGGAGTGAGTTCTCTTTAAGATGTCTTTTGTGTAATGAGTAAAAGGGATAATAAGGTATCCCTAAACTAGATTTTAAGGATAACTTTTAGTTAGATAAGTCAATCTAACAACAGGTTATAGAGCGAGAAAAAGCTTCTCTGAAGATATTTATTCTTTCTTCTGACATTCCAGGCATTAACCATTACTACTACTATCACTTATGTCCTAGGATTCTGCCTTCAAGTAATTGTTTCTTTGCTGTGGAAGCCTGATCCACTCACTATGTGGAATTTTCACAGATGTTTTTGAAATTGAATATTTAACAGGGAGCAACTACAGATGACTATTCTGTCATATCAACTACATTTTTTTTTTTTTTTTTTTTGAGACAGAGTCTTGCTCTGTTGCCCGAGCTAGAGTGCCGTGACACCAGCCTAGCTCACAGCAACCTCAAACTCCTGGGCTCAAGAGATCCTCCTGCCTTAGCCTCCCAAGTAGCTGGGACTACAGGCATGCACCACCGTGCCCGGCTAATTTTTTTTTTCTATATATATTTTTAGTTGTTCATCTAATTTCTTTCTATTTTTTTAGTAGAGATGGGGTCTCGCTCTTTCTCAGGCTGGTCTCGAACTCCTGAGCTCAAACAATCCACTCGCCTCGGCCTCCCAGAGTGCTAGGATTACAGGCTCTCGTGAGCCCCCATGCCCGGCCTTCAACTACATTTTTCTATAAAGCTAACATAACAAGTTTTTTTTAGAATGGCAATTCTCATTTGGTTTTAAAGGATTATGCTAGACTCTAAAAATTATATGAGCAATTTTAATTTGTACATTTTATATCATACTTGGAATCACATTCGTGAATCTAAATAAAAACTAAAAAGCTTTACTCAGTGAGTAGAGAAGAAAATATGGTTAAGCATGAAAATCAAATACTAGCAAGATGAAGCTACTCATAAATTGCCTACTACTATATGGCATCAATGAAATTTGTATGAGTACATATCTAATTAAATAATTGTCAGTTGATTTTTATGATTTGACAGTATATCTTCATTTTGGCGATTATATTTTAATAATTCAACATTGTGGTTTTTCATAATGCCAAACATCTAAAGAAAAAGAACTTGTTTTTCTTTTCAAAGTAAAAATTAAAGGTTAATAAAACAAATCCGATACACGTTTTTAATCTTTTTCTAAGAACTCATGTAATACCAACTTGCATAGTGTATGCAGATGCAAAGGGCCTATGTAAACTGCTTCTATGGAAGGAGAACAGCTGGTGACCCCTGGCAGTGCCTGGCCATTCACTTGAACATTTACCTGATAAAACAAAGGGTCTGCAGAATCTGTTTATTCACCTTATTGCTCTGAGGATCATGTGCTCAGAATAGCTCCTAGATAATAATTAGGTAATAATAATTCTGATGAATATTATTTGAAAGTGAAAATCAGGGCTGGGACTAGCAAGCAAGGTACCTATGGCACAAAATGTGAGGAGGTGCCCTCTCAGTACATGGTTGGCACCTGAGAGCCATTGCCTCCTTATGGTTTGCACCCAAGGCTACTAGTTTGACTTACTCTAGTTAAGACTTCGGGAAAATTATCTACTATGAATATAGTTTTAATCAACTAAATTTTGACAGTTTAAATTAATGACTCAAAAAGAGACCAAATGAACATTTTAAGGTTTCTCATTTTATTTTTTGCATTGGACAGCTCTAGCTTGACCTTTTTAAGCAGTGTTACCTAGTCCTGATTAGGCTGTGTGTGTTCATATAATATGAAATAAGATCACTGACTCATTTACCTAGCTTCAAAATATGAGTACAATGAAAAAAGAAAACAAGTAGACAGTTCTAGGCTGACAGTTCTAAAACATTTGGGGCATGACCACAGAGAGCTTTTATTTTCTACATTAGTGTTAGCTCAAAAATATTAGCTTGGCCGGGCATGGTGGCTTATACCTGTAATCCTAGCACTCTGGGAGGCTGAGGCAGGAGGATCACTTGAGGTCAGGAATTCAAGACCAACCCAAGCAAGAGTGAGAGCTCGTCCCTACCAAAAAGAGAAAAAAATTAGCCAGGCGTGGTGGTGCACACCTTTAGTCCCAGCTACTCAGGAGGCTGAGGCAGGAGGATGGTTTGAGCCCAGGAGTTTGAGATAGCAATGAGCTATGATGATGCCACTGTACTCTAGCCCAGGAAACAGAATGAGACCTTGTCTCAAAAAATAAATAAATAAAAATTAGCTTAAAAGTATGTCTTCTCATGTTAGGAGTTCAGCTGTGGCGTAAAGGTTTCCAGGATTGACCTCTTACGCTATAAATTTTTAGTATTTATATATTCAAAAAGTAGTTGTGTATTTTGAGAATTAAGAGTGGTATATTAGGTGATTTTTGATCTCAACTTTTTTTAGAAAAAAATTAGTCCAATTATTTTCAAATGATATAAAAATGTGAAGAAAGGGTACATGTAGAGAAAAATAGCATATTTTAGGTTGCCTTTTCAGGCTATGAAGTTCAACTGGGTTAGGTAAATACATTATTGAGTTAAAGGATTTGCACAATGCATACTAACAAAAAAATATGATCATAAATTGAATTGAGATCTTATATCTGTCCATACCTCCCCATTCTAAATTCCCCAAGTTTTGTCCCTGTATTCGGTGAAACTTCCATAAAGCAGAGTGAGGGGAAAAAGGCAAAATATGTCTTCTCGCAAAATTCTTTTTTTTTTTTGAGACAGAATCTCACTGTGTTGCCCGGGCTAGAGTGCCATGGCGTCCTAGCTCACAGCAACCTCAAACTCCTGGGCTCAAGTGATCCTCCTGCCTCAGCCTCCCAAGTAGCTGGGACTACAGGCATGCGCCACCATGCCCGGCTAATTTTTTATTCTATGTATTTTTAGTTGTCCAATTAATTTCTTTCTATTTTTAGTAGAGACGGGGTCTCGCTCTTGCTCAGGCTGGTCTCGAACTCCTGAGCTCAAACCATCCGCCCGCCTTGGCCTCCCAGAGTGC